GTCTCGCACTTCCTTTAATGGATCTTCGGGGTGCAGGGGAGACGAAGCTGGAGAGGCTTGATTGTTGATGCTGTGATCTCCTTTCCTCAAGATAATCAGTCTGGGAGATTCTGGTCTGGAATGTCACTCTTCCACTGCCACATCTCCAGAATACTGGACATTCCAGGCCTTCCACGGATGGCATGGGACTGCCCTTGCCAGCATGACTTCTCACACATGGTGTGTGCAAGGTCACACTGCATGGGGGAAGCCATATTGAAGAGTGCATCCCTCGGATGCAGTGTGTGTGACAATGCTTGCAGAGGTAGACTGGCATGCTCTTCAAAATGGCATCCCTTGCCTGATACTGGACAAAACCATGACTGGTTTTGCCTCAGTACTGGAAGAGGGGCAAACCTTCTACCTCAGATGGCTTATTGATCCGAAAGGCCTTTGGGCGGTGCCTTCATGTTCTGTGTACTGCACCTTTAAATTTCTAAGAAATCTGCCTGATTTCAGAGACTGCAGTCACTTTGTTTTCAGAGAAGCTGCCACCTGTTCAGAGAAAATACATACTGTGCTCTCTCAGGAGGCTTTGTTTGGGTCTGTGCAGGGATTTCCCTACACCCCCCCCCTGAATTTCCCCAACACCCCTCCCAGTTTTGTGAACTAGTTACATGCAGTGTTGCCAATTTAGTGATTGTTTTGAAATTTGAATTGAAATTGAAACATTAATACGCTCTTTAAAAGCGTATAAAGTGTATGATAAAAATATAATAGATTTTAAAAGTATGAACATAGACTAGCTTCCTTATACAGCTGTTTTTATGATATTGGCCAACCTAATAATTTCAAATTATGATTTGTAAGCAAAGTCTAAATGAGCTCTCCCTGACAGCTAGTGATGAGCTGGGGGCTGGGGGGAAAAGGCTTCAGGACCAGATTGTATTTACATTCGCACCTAATCTACATAGGTATCCAGCAAACAGAGCTGTGTTGCCCAAGTGATAGATTCTGTCTGGGGTTGGGTTACAAATCACTTGAATGCAGGCTGGGAGGGGGTGGTAATGAAATGTTGTTCTTATTGTATGAGTAAAGGGCAGTAGAACTGTACTTAGCCTGTGCTGATTGTGGGCATCAAGCGAGAGGGTGGGGACAGGTGTTTTGCTTGATGGTCTGCCTGAGTCTCAAGTACTATTTGACCTGCCCCTCTACACTGTTTAAAGACAGAACTGATTAGGCTCCATAGATAGTCTTTTGTTTTGTTAAGTGACCACTACATCTGAAATCACTGATAATCACTGTGGAAGAGATGGCCCAGTCTGCATTAGCAGTGAGGTTCCCCCACTGAGAACTCAGCTGAAATCACTGACAGCTGCATGGAACCTCAAGAGACCACCTCGCAGAAGTCACAGTGGCAGGTGGCAGCAGAAGGTGACGGCGCAGGGCCATTGGCAACAGAGCGATGGAGTGAACAGTGGCACAATGAACAATGGTGGCACAATGAACAACAGTGGCCAGAGCGAACAGTAAGCAGCTGGAGGAATGAGCGAGGTGCCTTCTTGCCCCCAACCTGGGAGGTGAACTCATGTGAAAGCACCTCTGAACTCTGAGTCTCCACTGACAAAGGACAACACGGTGAATGTTAATGAGGCTGTTAAGAATGCTGGAGACACAACACCATTCATGTGAACAAACATGGCTGTGGCATCATACGTTGTATTTAAGCAAGAGATACCACACACTACAAACTGGAGGCCAATGTTAAGTGCATTGTCACTTGTTCATCCTGAAATTGAACACTGGTTCTGAACAAGACCAGCAAATGCTCACTATCTTTCTACAAGAAACTCAACTGGCTGGCTAAAAGACTCAACAGTTGAAAACGTGAAGAACTTTCTCACCACATTCAAAAAAATTTCATACATGACTGATGAATGCACCGATGCAAATGGGTGTCAAGTATTAAGTCATTGTGTACATTATCTTGATGTCAGTGGTAGGCCAGTAGATGCATTTCTAGATGTTCAAGTTATAAAAGACACATCGGCTGTATCTCTGACAACCCACATCTTAGAAGAGTTAAATGCTTGTCAATTAGACCCCAAACAAATGGCTGCTTGTGCATTTGATGGAGCTGCAAACTTCTCTGGAAGACATGGTGGAGTAAAAGCTTTGCTCAGAGAAAAGTGTAACCCTAATCTCTCCTGAACACACGGCAGAGGCCATCTACTCCAACTAGCGCTAGTACGAACTACAGACTCTTCAAAAGACATTAAAAAAGCTAAGAATGTAATGTCTTCATTATATTCTTTTTTCAGCAAGAGTCCAAAAAGACGGAATATCTTGGAAAATATAGAAGATACACTGGGACTGAAGTTCAAATTAGTCCAACCTGAGAAACCCCTCTGGCTTTCTCATGAGCAATCCTTGGCTGTTGTCTTAAAATTGCTCCAGCCGTTATTACTGGCTTTGGAAAGTATCTACTAAGATGGGACAGATCTAAGTAGTGAGGCTGGTGGATTTCTTTTGCTACTACATTCAGAGAAGACTATTGTCATTCTCTCTCTTGTAAGTCTACTGTTGAAACCACTTGGGTCATTAAACAATGCCATCCAGGCATCTGCTACAACAGTAGTAGATCTTTGTCCAACAATAGAAGCTACATTTGGATCAATCAGAGTGCTTCTTCCAGTACGTTTTCAATGGATAGCTAAGACTTCAGTCCAGAAGTTGACTTCTAGATTCTACTCAACCTCTACGTAGCTTTTATAGATCCCGGTCCTATAAAACACAGACTGTTGAATGGAGTGAGGCACTACCAGCAATGGGGCTGCCATGTGCTCAGGACAGAATAGAGAATTTAAACACAGAGTGGAATATCATACGACGGATGAATGAAGATTTGACTTCAACTTCTTTTTTATCATCGCTAGTGGCTCGACCCAATCTTTATGCGGTTTCCTGGGATGAAAGAAGTAGGAATTCATCTCTTACTACTCCCAGTAACAACAGCTACAGTTGAGCATTCTTTTTCATCATTGAATAGAATTTTGTGTTCTGAAAGAAGTCACCTTCTGCCTGATCATGTGAATGAACTAATGAGCATATGAATTGAAGGAATGGAAGTACCAGACAAACGAGAAGCCACCAAAGATGAAGGCATTGCATTCAAGAAGTTGATTAACAGAGTTGTGCAAAATTATAACAAGAAACTAAGAAGGATGTAGATGTAGTGCTTCATAGAAGGCTTGAGTAGCCGACTTTAATTTGTGTGATTTTAAAACATGAGTTAAATCTAATAAAATAGTCATTGAACATTTTTCAGTTTTTACTATGGTGCCAAACAGCTCACCTTCACCCTCGCGGTCTCACCCCTCATCGGCCCTGACACACACACACCCTGTAAATTCGAACATCCACCCCTAATTTCAATTCCTGGGAAAACACTGGGTCTGTGCTTTTTCCAGAATCTAAAATACATCATTCAGGCTGAAAGCACATGGTTGTCCTTTTAGTGGAAGGAGAAATAGAGTGTTGCAAACTCTTGCAATATTATTGCAAGTCTGGCAATATTTGTGTTTTGGTTTTTTTCCCCCTTGACTCTCCAGCCCCTGGAGGGAAGTGATTTCATGAGAATCTCTGCTTTCATTTTTTTAAAGTAAGTTTTTATCCACCATGATTGCAGATAATCTTTGAAAATGTGCCTTGAGTACAGCCCAAGGGCTCAGAAACCAAAAGGTAAATAAAAATCCAAAATGTATTTTTAAGCCAATCTCATAATTTTGGGAGAGGGGCCTAACACATTTCTGAACATGGGGATTGGAATTAATGGAAATATAACAAGCATAACAATGAAGTGTGAACTGAAATGGTAAGTACTGAGAACTGAAACACTACCTCCGCTACATCCCACCATGATAGAAACATACTGATAGTCTATAAAATTTCTCGTTCTGTTATGAAGGTCATAATATGACAATAACTTGATGTTCTGTGCTGCTATAAATTAAATTGTTGTATGGATATTCAAGATGTTTCTCATTTTCTGTTCTGTTCCCCTGGAAAGACTAAAATAACGTTTTAAAAAAATCTCCTGGTATTTTGGCCAATATAAGCATGTTAGTTCTGATGTCCAGGCCTAATACTGACTACAAAATTACATTTTGTTTACATTAATAAAAAAACACAAACAAACAAAGAACCTCAACAACAACAACTGACTGTAATTTCAACTGGGTGTAGTTATTATTTTCCCCAAACAGTTGTGTAGTTTTCCCGTGCATTGTTAAAGAAATATAATGAACTTAAAAATCACACTTATGTACTTCTGTTGGAAATTTTTCGGGTATGGTTGTTACAGGTGATACCTAGAATTATTGAAAATAAAGGATTTAGTTTTAGTTTATTTTATGCATTTCACAGCAGTTAGTATGTAATGAGTTTTAGGGCATGTCTACACTGGAGCTGGGAGCACGTCTTTCAGCCTGGGTAGACTTGCGTTAGGTCTGGTTGAGCTAGCTTGCCAAAATAGCAGTGTGGCCATTGCAGCATGGGAGGCAGCACAGGATAGCCACCCGAGTACGGACCCTGGGGGTCTGTTGGGCTTATACTTGGGCAGCTAGCCCATGTCACCACAGCCATACTGCTATTTTTCACATAGCTAGCTCAAGCAGCGATAACGCATGTCTGTCTACCCAGGCTGGGAGGCACGCTCATAGGTGCTGTGTAGACAAAATCCCAGTGTTGTTCGTGTGAGTCTTTCAAACAGCAACAAAAGAGAAAGAGCATTTAAAAGAAAAATGTGAGTGTAAAACCCACAAAAGTTGGCAGGGGCTCAAAGGCAAGTGCAGTCCCTGAAATGACATTTAGTTTGCTTTTTGAAATGACTAGTTTTCAGGGAGACTGCCCCTTTAAATAGCTGTTGCCTATTACTAATGTGTTGAGCTCCCTTGTATTCTGATATTCTCTTAGTGAATGAGAAGATAACTCCTCACCTCTTCTTTTTCTTTCTCCCCCAGTTAAAAGACAAAACCTGAAAGTCCAGATCAACGCAACTGATGATACTATTTGCATGAAATACCTTCGGCTAAGTCCAGACACCAAACTCCAAGGCTTCATCCTGGGATATGGAAGCAGCTTCTTCTCTAACCAGTATATCCCTTTGCCTTCAGAAGGAAAATCCTATGTAACGGAAGTTGGTAAGGCATTATGGTTTTGAGTGCTACTTTTGGTCAATGGACAGGGGATTGGAATTAAAAGAATGGGAATCGGGTTTGTGGGGGGGTTTTGTTGGTTTTTTTTTTTTTAGTTAGGGTGGAGTGAGTTGTGTGTTGTTTGTTTTTGTGTTCAGGGATTTGTGCAAAGTTTTCAGATGGCAGAGGAATTGGGAGATCATTTAAGGAAAACAGGTATTTCTGGTTCTGGAAAATTTTGACGTTGGTTAGCTATTTGGTTTACATTTTTTTTTTTTAAACTGCTGAAATTTTTTTTTCTGATATTGGCTGTATGCATGGATTAGATAAGGTTATTTTGGATACAATTGCAGTCACCAGAGACAGGCTAAGGTACCAGGGAGTCAGGTGCCAGTCAGGCCTTAGGCCCCTGTTATAGGGTTCAGAGACTCACAATGACAGCTAAAGTGCGCCATATGAATTCTAACTCAGGAGTATAAAAGCTATCTCCCCTAAAGCTACCATCTGAGGAGGTAATGCAAAAAGAAACCCTAAGAACAGCTTGGGAGTGAACTTGAAAATTAAGGTTTATATTTGTAAATACAGTACTATCATAAGGCTTGATTACTTAAATTGTAAATAAAGTCCAAACCCCAAGGAGAGGGATGAGTTTGGACAATAAGCTGTGTGTGTGTGAGAGATGTGGTAAGAATGGGAGTCTAGTCATTAACAGGGCCCTCAAATGTTAAATATACAACATTGCTTATTAACAAATTGTTTGTTCATTCTTAACTAAAGATGAGACTGAACCATAAAATTCTGATGTGAAGACAAGTTTTAACAATGTTAGGGGGATTTCTAGCATTCTGATTTGGAGCCATTTGGTTACTTGTTAATCATGTGTTGTTCAGGGCTATGGTTGGATATCACAATGTGAGACCTAAAGGTGGCTTACAATGTAAAAAAGTGAAATGAAAATGTATACCGCCTTCTCCCAAAGTAATACTATATCTTGGCTATAACTGGCTGATTTTTAACATGCACATAAATAAGCAGTATTAAGTTAGAGTGGTAATATGCTCTTCCAAATGATATTTTATAATTGTAATAATTCATAATATCAACACAAACAAAATCTTCATTTTCCTGTGGGCTCCAAACCTCCAAAGGAGTAAACTGTTTATATGCATAGATGGCAGCTATCCTATTTATTTGGGAGCTGCCCAAAGACCTAAAAACATTGTCTGTCTTCTGTTCCATGGCCTCAGTGCACTGCAATGGGGGTGATATTGTCATTGAAGTTAGGCAAATTTAAACAAGAAATAAAATGTCCATTTTTAACAGTGAGGGTAGTTAACCATTGCAACAGCTTAGCTAGGCATGTGGCAAATTCTCCATCACTTGGAGCATTTAAAACACGATTGGATGGCTTTCCAAAAGATTTGTTCTAGTTCATCTGCAAATTATTGGACTGTAGCAGGAATTACTGGATGAAGTTCTATGGCTTGTGTTTATGCAGCTCAGATTAGATCAAGTATGTCCAACCTGGCTCTGGCTGCTCTAATGTCAACGTTGTGGTGAGGCTCTGGGAGTGAGGCTAGGAGAGCATGCTGACTAATGTTGCCTTGAGTCGGAAAATAATTAAAATATTTATTTGTGGCCATTTGACCTTTCTGAATGATGTTCAACCCTCTGGTTGAAAAATTTGGACACCAGTGGACTAGGTGATCATAATAGTCCTTTCTGTTCTTGAAATCTGCCCCGTCACTGTAGTATCAGAATACTTGGTGGTGTATGTTTATGGGAAAAAGGTATAACTGTACTGAAATTCTTAAAGTGCCCCTGCTAATGTGGTTCTGGGTGCTTACTGCGATTTCATAATAAAACAGAAGAAGGGGGGGGAAAGAACAGAGGGAGTTACAGGGATAACAGTAACCCCTTAGGGTGGGGATGTGCATGGCAGGGAGGGGAATGCTATAGGCTTTTTTTTGTTTTGTTTTGTTTTTAAGTAAGGAGATTGGGGGGCCAACTGGATTTTGAAGGGTGTGAATTCCTTCCTCTCGGGGCCACTGCAGCAAAGACATGATTGTTGTATAGCTGGAAATCAAACTCCTGAGATCTCTTTCTAATTCCATCAGTGATTTAGAGTTTGAGTTCAGGAAAGTCACTTACACAGCTCCACCGAAGTCACAGAGTTTAACAAGTCTGAATTAGACTCTTTGTATAATGTCTGCAACTGGGGTATAATGCCTTCTATAATTAACTTTCAGGAGTGCTGAGGCTTAATTGATGTTTGTAAAGTACTGAGGTCCTTGGGTGAAAATAGCAATGCAGCCTTCTGTAGTTCTCCTAATTTTTTTCCATTTAATAGGAATGATGCTACCCAGTGGTGTGTAAAATCATATGAAGCCATGGACTCTGTCAAAGGTGGACTTCAGCTGGGACAGATTGCATTTAGTAGTTGTATTTTCTGTAGCTTTAATGTGTAAGGTTAGTGGCTTATAGCGAGATGAAGCTCTCTGAGCACCGCTTACCAGAGTGGTGCAGTAAATCAGAGTATCCAGCAGTATCCTAGAATTCCATAGAAGCTGTTGCTATTACACAAGCAAGATCCTGCTCCAGTGAAGATTAAAAAAAGATGATAAAACCATTGACATTTATAGCGTGGAATGAAATGTGCTATATGGTCTCGTATATTAGACACAACAAAGCACCAAGTCAATTACCTTCTCAGTGGGTTTTGTTATGCCAAAGTACTGGGGAGGACCTTTCGTTTAAAAACCCCCCCACACATTTCATTGACAGATTCAAGCTCTCTACATTGTAATATAATCCGGTGAGACAACTTCTTAATGGCAACGCACCACTTAAAAGTGAAGGGAAATAAATATGATAAATATAATTGTGTCATGTAACTGAAATGTAAAATACAATATGCTGTCATTTTAAACACTAGCATCTGTGACTTTAGGCAAACAGCTTTCTTACACAGAGCAAGAAAGAAACCAGCTGCAGAATTTGCTATAGGCTATTGGTGTACTCCTCAGGTCCACAGTATTTACTGATTGCATTTAAAGATAACAATTACAGTAAATCTGTTAACTCAGGGGCATTTCAGGTTAAAAAGATTAAGAGTTATTTTACATGCCCTATGGAAATGTTTATTTGAATGCAAAAAGTATTCTATACTGCATTAAAATGGAACACCAGGTTGCAAATTTCCACATAAGTATATAGCATTATCTTAAGGGTAGATCCTAAGTTGTATTTATCTCACGCTCAGTGCAACTTGAGTGGGAGGTGGGAGGGAAAGGAGACAAAGGTGGCAGCAAACAGCCCCTTGATTCTTAGGCTAGCTGCTGTCATAAGTTAGAGCAGCCACAGGGCTGCTATTATGCTGGCTGGAAGGGTCCTCTGGGGACTGTTCTGCCAGTTGGAAAGTGCACTCAGAACACTCCATGTGAGGAAGGTCGGGAGAGCAGGTAGCTGTGGGCATTCTAACCTGAGTGGGCTGTCCCACCATCAGGTAAAACTTGCATCCACAATGGCATGAGAAGTGGTGGGTGTTGGCTTGCACAGCTGAGGTTTTTCTGTAATTTACTAAACTTGAGCAGTTGTTGAAAGGTACGAGATCCACTGTGCTAAGAGAGAATCAGGCATGGGACTATTTGAACTTTCATTCTTATCTCTTAACTCCAGATTGGTCTACATGGGACAAAGTCATCCCAGTCCTTCAGGCCTCGTGTGGCTCCTGTGGCATCTTAAAAATAAGTGGATAAATCCAGAGCAGTTCAGTCAGTGCCCAGTGTCACTTCTGCAGCCTTCCTGAGCACCAGCTCATGGAATAGGATTCACTCGTGAATAGACTATGCCACGTGGTAGCAAAATTTGCCAGGACACTAATTCACTGAGTCCTGACTACTGTTTATGCTTAAGCAACTGAACATAGGGGCTATAATGGTAAGTGTTAAACAGCCTTAATAATAGGGGTTGCTATCAGTGTCTTTTGTAATTATTTTTTTTATATAATAGTGCATAGAGACACAAGGAGAGATCAGGGCTCCATTATGGTTGGCACTGGACAGTGCCTCTCCTAAAGAGCTTACAGGCTACACAGATGAGAGACACAAAGCTTCGCAGAGAAGTAGTATTACTATCCCAGTTTTACAGCTGGGAAACTAAGGCACACAAAAAATTGAGTGGCTTACTAAAAGCCACACAGGAAGCCTGTTCAGAGCTGGAATTGAGCCTAGATCTGTAGCAGATCCACAAACTGAACTTAGATAAATTCTGATGCTTCATGGAGATTGTAGGAAAACTGCAGTGAGTTGTTGATATAAAAGAGAATATGAAAAGAATGGTTAGTCAGACTAGAATCTTGTCTTGTTTGCTGTTCCCAAACATAAAGGTAGTGAAGTCCTCATTTGTTTGAAAACACTTCATTATTGATCATAGGCCATGTCTACAACAGAAACTTTTGCCGGTATAGCACTATTAGTTAGGGACTTGATAGCTTATGACACGTGGATACTACCAGAAGCCACTGTATTGATGTAATTATATTGGCATAAAAGTGCTTTTGCTGGTATTGTGCTCGCTGAACCGGTATAAACTAAAGCAACAAATATCAGAGGGGTAGCCGTGTTAGTCTGAATCTGTAAAAAGCAACAGAGGGTCCTGTGGCACCTTT